ATCAAGACATGTTCTTTGGTCTTTGCCCTTTTGTGGAAGTAGTACTCTTACCACATTACAATGCATTCAGAACAGCAAATAGTGTGTCTGTAAAGGAAAAAAAAAAAGAATAGTGAGAAACACGGTGAGGCATGGCAAGGAACATGTGCTGAGGAACGTGTGGCTGCCTTTGGACTTTAAAACGTGTAAAGAACAAACGGTTCACCTAATCCCACCCTTTAATTATTTACACTTTACTATGAAGACCTCCTGTCTGAGCTCACTGTTTATAGTGTGCTGATCCTTAAGCATTTGGCCACTGGATGGCTGGAGCACTGATGCTCTCATTACACTCCGCTGTTATACTTGTGACGACTTGACCAGTGAAGCAACTGTGAGTTATTTCAGATTTTATAAACATTCTTTTACTCTTTTATTATGTGAAACCTATTAATTAAATGTGTAGGATTTTACACATTCATAGAAAATAATACTGCTAAGAAAATAATCTTTGAAATATTGCTTCTTGGAGTTCTAATGCTTCTCTAAAACTGTAAAATCAATATCAGATTACAAAACAACTGCCTTTGGGCAAATGTTGTGCATATCATGAATGTTATCAAGAAAACGTAAATTAAAGCATGACTAATAACATCCTGTCATTATGGTGTACATAAATCAGTTCATAGATGAAAAGATTTCTTATCATTGTTGAAAACAGTTGTGCTGCTTAATATTTTTACGGAAACCATGGTCATGTTTTTCAGGATTTTTTTGATGAACAGAAAGCTCAAAAAAACAGATTTATTTGGAATAGAAATCTTTTGTAACCTTAGAAATGATTTTACTGTCAATTTTGATCAATTTAGTGCATCTTTGATGAAAAATTAAGTATTTATTTCTTAAAAAAAAATCATACTGATGCCAAAATGTTTTATGGTTGTGTATGAATACAGTGTATTGAAAAGGTTATGTCTTCATTTTCTGTTGCTTTAATGTAACTGTATGACACATTATGAATGGCCTTAAGAGAAGTCAATCACAGCAGTTGCAGGTATGGGTCATTTGAACCATCCGATCAGATGACTGAACTCTATAGGCAGCTTTCCTTTGTTAACTAAGTGGGAGGTCTGCTATGCTAAACAGTTTGAGCTCCAGTTGCGCTCGCTGAAAAACACTGTTCTTGTTCTTGCATTACTTTGCTCCAGCTGTCTTCAGACATTGTTCTCATAGAGGAGGAAAGGACCTTGTTTAACACAACAACCAACCCCTACCAGGACATTAAGAATCAGTCCTGTGAACATAGTGGCCGGATGGAAAATAGCAAGGTGAGGATTTTTAATTATAAACAAGCATGGCAAGACACAAATGTTCTTAATTGCTTCGGCTATTTTGCTGTTCCTAGCAGCCGGTGAATGAAGTGCCTCCCCAGCCCCGGCCCTCTCCAGCATGTCTGGATTCCTCAAACGCAATACCGGCCTCCTCACAGGCTAAGAAAGCCGGAGCTGGAGCTGGAACCATTCAACATGTGCAAGTGGCCTCTTCAGGTGAGAAAAATGTCAACATCCACAATAAGAAAATATATTGCTAAAGTTCTTTCATTTTCTGTCTTTGGTTTATAGTTGTAACTTCATTTAACATGAAGAAACATCTTGACGAAGAGGAACCGGTTTTATCTCATAAGTCCATGAGGTCACTGAAACAAGCAGGAATCACAGCGGTCTTCACTGGACAAACAATAAATGTATGTGCTAGCCTTAACATTGAAAAAAGTCAACATGAAATCACAATTTACCCTATGTACCTTTCTTTCAGGTATTATTGTCCTCACATCATAAGTGCATATTTTTCCAAAGAAAACTGTAATGTAAAATGAAATTAATCAGTAATTGGATTTACAAGTTTAGCACTTGATTAGAACTTGACCTCAACTTTCGCAAAAGTGGGAATCATTGTTTCAAGAGTGGAGTGGTAAATTTACATTTAGGTCTGAATGTACAAATGTAAAATAGTTTGCAAATGCCATTTTATTTTGACTTGAAATGAATGTATTTATTTGCAGTATAGTGATATCATAATATGTCTGAGTTTGGATGAATCTTTTTCCAGAAAGAAGAGAATGGAATTGTTCCACTTGCAGAGTTGGAAGCAAACCTTGCTGACATTGATTATCTGATCCCGACCCATGATGAGAACGGGAGGCCCATTGCTGAATGGAAGAGGCAGGTTATGGTCCGCAAGCTTCAGGCTCGACTGCAGAACGAAAACAACCCCTGCAGAAAAGTAAACATCTTAAACCCCTCCAACATAAAGCTGTATTGCTAAAATGTCCTTCCATAACACACCATGTCATACGTCAATATGACCATAACAATTGTTTCGTCTTATCCAGGACAACGTTGATAAAAATATTGAGGTGGACGGTTGGAGGTATTCCCAAGTCCACAATGTAATTTTGGGCCCCTTTGGAGAACTGCTTACTGAAGATGACCTGGTCTACTTGGAGGGACAGATCGAAACAATTTCCCTTCAAAAACGATGCCAGGCCTATGAACTAGAGCTTGCCCGGCTGGCGGAGGAACTTAGGGCCATCCTTCCTGCTCCTATCGTTAATATCACCGTCAACACTCAGTGCCACCAGGTCCAAAACATTGAGGAATCTCTACCTCTTCCTGTGTGGTACAATCGGATCTCAAATATAGTAAAGAGCATGTCACTCCTCCTGACAAACCTCTCAGAAACAAACGGCGAGGATGGGATCTGTAACACGGATCTGGCATCGGTCTTCACATACCAGCCAGAGAGGCAAAGTTCAATAAGAGGACGTAGGCAGAAGGTGGAACTGGAGATCCAGCAGTCAGGAGTATCTGTGAGAAATTTGAGGTCCAACTTTGAGGGTCAGATAGGAAACATCTACCCATTTTCTGGCCTTTTAAACAACACATCTGACACAAGGCAGCAAAAACGGTCTACATCAACAAATCGAAATAAGCAGTCCGTGGGGACAATCCAAAGCACTGACATAAATCACATTAATGACAGTGCCAAATGCCAACAGGCACTGGGCAAAGATGCAACTAAAGTGATGGAGACCACCTGCTTGCGGAAGGAGCGTATCGTTGTCCTCTTTTTGAGTCACTGGAAAAGGTCTGCGTATGCAATATCATTGCGAGCCAAGATAAAACAAGAGCTTGGCACTCTTACAGGAGAAGGAATAACAACTCCAGTATCCAAGCCAGGAACCAGATCACTGTATCATCTTTACAGGCAAAGAACCGCAATAGACAAGATGATTGGCAACTGGAAACGTGTCGCCTCAGGGGTCCCATCACGTCAGATCCGGAGCCTTCAGAGGAAGTGTGTGACCTACTCGCCCGAGCAGTTCCTTCCTCGCGTGGACGGCGCTCCTGTTGCTTATGACAGCCTGACCCTTGACCTCTTTATGCTCGGCTATTTTCACATTCTCGAGCAGGACCTCCCAGCTGAGGAGCGCAAGATGAGGCACCTGTTATGCTTTGAGGTGTTCGACCACATAGGGAACTTTCCCTGGGAGACAGTCCGAGACTTCCACCGGGCCGTCCTCAGGGACATTGAGGCTGGGAGACGCGAGTGGAAAGATGGTTTTGAGGACATCAAAATGCAATACTTTGGGATTTTCAAGGTAAAGGATTCTTGTGCCGAGGTTAAAGTTGCGCCGCAAGTTATCATCGAGAATACCATACCAATTGATGGAGGACATCTCAGCAGAGATGGAAGCAGTGATTTCTCAGTTTTTAGTAATGATGAGATTTGTAAATATATTGATCGTAGTTTCACCTTCTGGAAGGAGAAAGAAGCAGAGTTGTTTGATTTTTGATATTTTTCAATGCGGTGATGGTTTTTACTGTATATGAACACAATATCATTTATAGTTATTTTGAATACAAAATCGCTTTGAATAATTATTTGAACTTTTTTTGAGGCATTTCAAATAGAGATAAATTAATGACAAAAAGGCAACTGTGTGTTATTTAGTACTTTGCAGTATCAGGTAAATATTATGTACAGTACCATTATAATGATAAGAATCTGGCCAAAAGAGTCTTACAGCTATGTGCATTTTACAAATTTTGATGTTTGACCTATCTCTTTTATAAATAAACTTTTTTTTTCTTTGAAAAGTGCCATTTCATGTGATTAATCACTTCTTTTTGAGTCCCTTATAATTTGCAGTTACACTTTCTTTCACAAGAATCAATTTGACCTTCACTACATTAATATACATGTATGGCAGTGAGTGCAATGTGTGTGTGCTCAGCAGGGATGGTCAGACCGCCCTGAGAGAGTGGTGAAACATGTATAAGATGGAGTGTAACACTCATTAGCAGTGCTACACAGTACAGTCTAAGCCTATGATGAGATAAGATACACGAAAGATAATCTACATAGAAGCAACAAATCACTCAAAACATTTTATAAAGCAAGAGATGTTGTGTGTATGGTAACATCACTTAAAAGGAAACCTTAACTCATGTTAAGGACATGACTTTTGCTTTAAAACTGCTCCCTAATTTTTCATCTCTTCTGAATAATGTACTGGAAGAGAAAGATTTATGAACACAACAGGTCAAAAAAAAGGCATGTTTGCTTGCAGTTTTGTCTTTGAAGTCAAAACAAAATGTATTAAATACAGTATGTCATATGGACCTAACCTACACATGATACTATGGGGATCCTGGTTTAAATAAGCCTATGTCCATCTCTTTTTTCAACAGTCATTTTCTCTTTATTTAATTTCTTGTACTATATTAGTTACTTTATTAGCTACTGTATAAATTACCATAAGCTATAATGTTTCTTATTTTCTATATCCCCTATTGATGTCACATAAGCACAAGTTTTACATTGTGAACTGTGCGACATGTGACTATTCACTTGTGAGACAACCTCTTAATGCAGTCTTCGTCAAGTATCGGTAAAAATGACACAAAAATGTCATAAAAAGTATACAATTATGATTTGGGTTTAGAGATGGGGATGGAAACATAGCTGAACGGATGCATGATGGCCTGCGGTTGGTGTGCGAGGAGAGTTTACGGAGACGTTTCCGTAAACACACAGTGATATCAGACGGGCGTATCGCCACCACTGCGCATGCGCACAGGGCAGGGAGAATTGACATCGCGGAGCAGTACTGCAATATCCATCGATTCGCGACCGAAGATTATCCATCTGCATTCTCGCAAGACTGGTATCACCTGTACATATTAATCCATAACAACTGTGCCATTAAAGCAATCATGTCCTTGGGAAGTGACTTTGGGAACCCTTTACGGAAATTCAAACTTGTTTTTCTTGGGGAGCAAAGCGGTGAGTCTTTGGGTTTGCCACGACTGGGTTTGGACACGAACCCATTAACCTTACAACACATGCATGAAGTACATTAGTGTGTTGTTGATTCTTTTGTGTATCTGCTTGTTTGTGGTGTTAGTTCAAACGATGTTTCGATTCGATTCCCTGTCAAACAAGTCGGTTGCATATGTTTAATTTTTGATTAGTCATGAAAACGTATAGCTATGCATCGTCATTACACTACTAAACGTCCACCTGCGAATATAACGTAATATAATCGTTATTTGTACAACTGTAAATGATTGTCACTTGCATTTTCCATTGGAGGCAGAAGGTCTTATATTATTGATCGCTAAAATTCTAGCGCGGTCTAAATCGCTCAAAACAATGACATGAAATATTTCATTCGAAAGAAATGTAAATCGCCTTATTTGTATAGATGTCCCTGTAAACATCCACTGATTGAAAATGTCATGAAACAGAAAGGCGCAGAAGCTTTGGATTTCCCGTGTGTCTACAGGAGACACACCCAGGTTGGCAGTCAGTGTCTGTGGGATTCTTCAGCAGAGCAAAGATAAACCACCATGCATCGTTTTTATGAGCAGTCATACGATCAGGCTATGTAATAGGAATATATATCGTGGTTTATTCTTTTGGCTGGATGATGGTCTTCTCAGTGTCACTGCTTGTCACTGTCGGTGTTTGTGAAGACGTAATCAGATGGGCATCATTTTTGTCAATTTTGATGACTGAACATACAAACATTGCAAATAATAACACTAAACATGGCGTCACCGTTAAGTTCATGTGTTCTTGAGATATTTTTTTGTCATGAGTATGTATTTATTTGCCATACATTATCCCAGTAATAGCTCCTGGTTATGTCTTCATCATTCACTGTTCGTATGGAGAAAATAGACAGCCAGTCAGACAGAGGGCCCTATACATTGTATGAAAGACCATTTTCGATTAGCGATATTTGGTTTTAATCACAATTTTTAGAGACAGCTATCTGTATACTTATCTATGAGAATCAATACATTGCAACCTGGATATTCACCACACCTGCTTGAATGTTTTCCCCCCAAGGATGCCAACTTAATGAAAAAGCTCTCATCATTTACTCACTTTTATGTTGTTAGACCTTTCTTTTTTTCTGTGGAACACACAAGGAGATGTTAGGAAGACACTCTCACTCATCTTTTTCCATATTATGAAAGTGAATTGTGACCGAAAAAAGGAAGTCAAACTGGTTTGGAACAACATGAAAGTGAGAAAATGATGACATTGGGTGAACTGTCCCTTTAATGTCAGAAGACCACTTGTATTCTGCTATCCATGGTCCTGAATCTAACTGTTGGTCAGATTTGATTGATCTTGTTTCAAGATTTAAGCAGAACAACCCTCATTCTTAAGCCACAGAAGAATAGGACTATTATTCCCCCTTGTTCTATGAGCTCCATGATAACTATTGGCATTGTGCTGTTTGCTGATTTTAGTATCTCAGCTCAGCCTGACTAACAGGCCTGACCCGACTGGCCTGAAAAAAGCAGTCCTGTAGTGTATGAAATATACTCTGGAATTTTTGCTGTCACAGTGGCTCCATGTTCTGCCGCATTTTCAAGCCGTTTTTCATGTCATTGTTGTAACTCTATAAACCAGGGAAGTCCAAATGACTGATCTCTGTGTAATCCTTAAGAAATGCACTGTCATTTGAAGGACGGAGGTTAAGACAGTGCTTTGTTTCAGCATATGGCAGTGTAATTCAATTAGTGAAAACACTATGAATAGGGTTATGTCAGGACAAACAAGCCATTAATTACTTCACTGTGTGTGTGATTCATCAAAATCTGAACATGATCCTGTTTTGTTGGTTACAGTTGGGAAAACATCGCTGATAACAAGGTTCATGTATGACAGTTTTGACAACACTTATCAGGTAATCTATCTTTTTTGTGTGTGTTCATACATTGATGTAGAAGTTTACAGAGTTTTTCGGATGTCTATGTTATTTTGTATCTTACTTTGAATCATATTTTCATTACAGGCAACTATTGGAATTGACTTTTTATCAAAAACCATGTATCTGGAAGACCGAACTGTAAGAAGCTTTGAAACTATATATACTGCATATATACATTAGTGCAGTTATCAAAATGTCAAGTATGTTGTATCTTTTTTTGCAGGTGAGGTTACAGCTATGGGACACTGCAGGGCAGGAGCGGTTTAGGAGTCTTATCCCGAGCTACATTAGAGACTCCACAGTGGCTGTGGTGGTTTATGATATTACAAGTGAGCCACACACACGTATACACTCATACACACTTTGAGGAATTAAATGATGTATGTAAAAGCAACTGCTTTTATGTTGCCATGTTGCAAACTTGATGATCCAATTAGACTGAGATTTGTTCTTCTCTTGCTCCAGACGTAAATTCATTCCAGCTAACCTCCAAATGGATTGATGATGTCAGAACAGAGAGGGGAAGTGACGTCATTATCATGCTGGTCGGCAACAAAACAGACCTAGAGGAAAAGAGGTGGAGTCATTGATGATATTAACTAGGGATGGGCATTGACAAATTGCATGGTTTGATTTGACTAAATTTCGATTCACAAGCTTGCGATTCGATTCAGTTCGATTCAATATCAATTACTGTAGTTCAGGCCTATCAGGTACCGTACATGGCAAATGTCCTCAAGGGAATAAAATGTCTCTCAATTAATGCTGTAAATTATACAGGGAACACGAGTTGGCACATCACTATAATATGAAAGGTTAAAACCAACTAATTTGTCGGCTACTTAAAATTAAATTACACATAAGGAAATTTTAACATTCTAGAGTTCATTTTTCTAGTTGACTAAAGAGTTTTGAATGACCTTTCTGACGTAAATGGACGATTACGTGACATATTGTTACATACAAGCTGTTTTATTGACATCTTTCCATGGTTGAAACGCTGACTAAGCGATTACATGTGACGATATGGATTTCGACAAGTTGTACTGCATTTTTAAACATACATTCTGATGTTCATTCATGTTTATTTTGTTCTGTTTGGCGAAAACGGTAGCCTGGAAATCCAGACTCAAATCCGAAAGATTAAGGCTCTGGCATTGAGTAATGAAAATCGCTCAACTCGAGGGGCGTCACCAAGCATGCATTTGAGAATCTCACTGCATGCAATTGGATAACCCCCTACGACCAATCAATACACCCCATATGCTTAGTTACCAGCGGAGCTGACTAGTAGATTAGACTCTTGCTGTATCCGGTCGGCCAAACAGCAAAAATGTCCTTCTTGCAAAGAAACAATTCAAGGGTCGTCTTACTGTATGTTTCTCTTTTAGATAAAAAAACAAGTCTAAATCGTTCATTGTAGCAGCCAAAGCCGTTTCAAACAACTGGTGTTCATCCATAGCCATCTTGCAGCTTGACGTCACAAAAATTAACATTTATTTTTTTTTTTTGTGCTTGAATTCTTTATTTGTCAGTGTCACTACCGTATTTTTTAGTCAATTAATTTACTCAAAATCATAAGTTTAATGTACTTTAATTGTAATGCATTATGATGGCATTTGCTCTGATAGGCAAATCACCATAGAGGAAGGGGAGCAGCGTGCCAAAGAGCTGAATGTGATGTTTATCGAGACTAGTGCAAAGACTGGCAGCAATGTTAAACAGGTAAGTCTCAGAGCACTACAAAGGCAAATGGACTTGATCCAATAGAGTAATTTAATTGAGCTCATGCCCTGTAACATGACACATGGGAAAGCTCTAAAAAGATTTGATTTAGCCACTGAGTTGTTGCCCAAAGGGCTTTAGCTATACCAATCGGCTCTGGAAAATAATCCTCGTCTTATTTCATTCTCTTTCTGTTTGGTTTAACAGTTGTTTCGGCGAGTGGCTGCCGCTTTGCCCGGAATGGAGAGCTTGGATGAAAATAACAAAGAAGGAAGTATCCTTTAATGCGTGACATTTAAAGGTGATATGTGTTGTTTTTGAGGATGTGTCCCAGAGACAAAACAAGTAAGCCAAATGAATATGCCATTTTTAGATTGATTTCCCTGGAAAGTATAAACCCTTGGCTTTGTGGTGCATTCGAAATGTCCTGTCCCTGCGAACACTGCAACAGTGTCCCAACCAATACTGTGAGTTTGGGGCAATACTGTCTGTTGGTTCGACCAATGGAAGATGGAGAGAGTGTTCAGAAAACTGAAAACAATCATTATTTTTTTCATTCACATTTCGCTAGTGCGACTAAAATTACAAAATTCACTCAAATCAATTATAGTCAGTCAACATCTTTTAGTATATGATTTACTGGATAAAATATATTTGTCTATGTAATCTAAAATCTAAATTTATTTTTATATAGTTGACATATAGAGTTGTTTTTCAACCCCTCTCTACCAACTAGCTTTTTTTCCAAAAACACTAACTTGATAAAATCAATATATTTATTATACATTGCGTTTTCACCCCAAATACAAAGATAGATTTAAGACACATTTAATAAGAGATAGCAATAATACTGAAATAAATTTGGTGTAGGATTTACTCTGAAACAAGTTTCACTCAGAAATTGTTAGTAAATTTCACTTCACCGAATACAAAGAAATTGCAAATAACACTTTGTATTAAATGTGAAATCTTGAAGTAGAAAGAATAAAATAGTATTTTCTTGTAAAACATACTCTAATATTTTTTTTACAGTGTGTAGTTCCTTGTTTTCCTTGACACACATCCCTCTCCCAGTGATCGACATTAAGCTGGACAAACAGCCGGATCCTCCGGCCACTGAAAGCGGGTGCTCCTGTTAGTAGAAAGCGGTTCGGACCTTCATTAACACCACACGCTTGTTCTGTTGCTTCCTATGGGTCCACGTCCTGTTGAACTGTATGATCGGATATAGGCTTTTTACATCTATCTGAATGGGTCTAAAATTATACTCCTCAGTTGCAAGAACAAAAAAAAAATTGCACTGTCTGTTCAATTGCCAAAATAATATCATAGGTAATTCAAAGCGACTAGCTAACAGATTCATATAGGACAGGAAAGGGGCATGTGTACCATATTTGGACAAAAACATTCAGAGTGGATTATCGGTTGTTATGTTTTGTATTTTTGTACATTACAAAAAGCACTAAATGATGCCTTCACAAAAAAGAAAAAAAAAGAAGTTTAAGATTCAAGACGGATGGCAGAGTAACTGTCTTTCGTCTATAGCATGCATGTAAGACAACTTTTAGAATCTGTCATGTCCTTTGGTCCATTCACATCAATAGTAATGAAACGAAGAACTTAATGAAAAAAAGACAAAAGAGAGAGCTCCTGTTCAAAGTCTTAGTGTGGGTCTGTGTATACATCCTACATGCTAATCCAGTACCAGCCTCCATGAGAGGTGTGCGTACTAACCTGGCTAACCTTTAAAGTGCTGCGGCACTGTTGCAAAGAACCAATGGATTTTTCTGCTAGCTTCATGTACACTTTAGATCCACCAGGCGGTACTGTATTGTATATAGTATTTATATTATTGTGAACATCCATCATTTAAACGTGGTTTATGTTCACTTGTACAAATGTTTGTTTTTGTTTTTTCTTCTTTTTTTAATATGACAAGGGCTTCACTCTTATTTTGTCGGTCTCACCTGTAGCCATACACTGGTAGTAATCTATTATTTATAATTTGGGCATTTTGCTGTTGCCTTATACCGTTTTACTCACTCATTAAGAGGATCTTTTCTGATAGAATACAATTATTCCCGTTAAAATTTTATTATTATTATTTCGCAGCCAACTCGAACTAAAAATAATGCGATAATTGTCATTTGTTCGGTTGGGGTGAGAAAGGCATGCACTTTGTTATGGGCTCTGACAAGGAAGTGTGTGGTTCACCACATCATAAAGTGATGAAACAGACAAATAATTGTCGTATCCCTCATAATATCAAGCTCTTGTAGTCTCCCACACATGTCTAATGGATGTGTAGATGTTGCAGGTAAACATTTTCATCTCAAGAATCCTTAATCATGAAGACCTTTTCAAAATCGCACTGAGAGAGAATGAACCCGCCTGTAGTCCACTCATGACATTCTGGTTATTGCAACAGTACGTTCAAGAAAAGTGAGTTGTTTACAAAACTCTGGAAACATAGTATCTTTAATATTTAATTTTTTTTTTTTTTTTGTTAGTTTTATATGTTGAATTGTTTACATAAATGCACTGATTAACACCACTGATTGTATAGAGATTCATTTAGGATATATTAGGTATTTATAATATATTTAATGTTAGTGCGAGTTTCTTTCTGGTGCCAATACGTCTATTAACTCAAACAAAAATGAACATGAGGAATTACTGTGACTGAATTGTCGGTACTAGGTTTTACTTAAGCTTCTCGGATAATTAAAGGGGCCGCTGATGTTAATGAGTTGTGCACAGAGCATCTTTCACGTTCACATTTCTCAAGCCTCCGTTTCCTCTTGTTTGCTTTGTCATTTTTCACTTTTTGTACACTAGTTGTGCCTTCTGTTATTGTGGCATCACAATGCAAAGCTTTCATTGTATGGCTACCTGAGAACACTTACGTTATAGAAGGGAAGTCACTGTGCGTGACCAGACAACTGACGGATTTATGATGTTGATCTGTGATGAAATTGTTGTATTTATACCATCTAGCCAATTCACAGTGGTTGAGAAGAATTGCAGAATAGTCCCATGCGAGCGGAAGGTTGTGTGTAAGAACAGGAAGTTGCTGCTGATAGTGTGAGCGGATTGAATCTGTCAAAGTTGTTGCCGTAGGGTTGTGTAGAGCAGTGTAGTTGGCTCTTTATTCACTCTGTAAGGACATTTATGAGCATGACATGTCTGAAAAAAGAAATAATAAAATCCATGTCTTAATACCATATTGTCTACTGCTGCAATTCTGAGTGATATTGATTTCATAACAGCTGTATAAAAAAGTGTGCACCTGTGCAATCAAGCAAAAAAGAAGGAAGTTTTGATGAACGTCTGTTTTCATAAATCTAAATTCACCCGCCTCACTATTTTATGAAAATTTAAGACAAATGCTATGTTCTAGGGATCATTAAAAGCCGAAAGCAATTATAACTTGGAACATTCTCACACAAAATTACAAATGCAGCATTAAAGGTATAGTTCAACGAAAATTGAACATTGTGTCATCATTTACTCACCCTCAAGTTGTTCAAAACCTGTATGAGTTTCTATCTTCTGCTGAACACAAAAGAAGATATTATGAAGAATGTTTCTAACCAGACGGTTGACGGCACCCATTGACTTCCTTGGTAGGAAAAAAAAAGTCAATGGCTACCGTCACCTGTCTGGTTACAAACATTCTTCATAATATCTTCTTTTGTGTTCAGCAGAAGAAAGAGGGTGAGTAAATAATAGCAGAATTTTCATTTTTCGGGTGAACTATCTCTTTAATGGCTAATTCACGTCTAGTACATTTATTGAGATGCACAGAGGCTGGGATTCCCCTTGGCATGGAAACTATAGTCCTCAGGAGAGACAGGTCACATGATTGAGAAATCGTTTCTTGCCCAACTGTGGACTTTCCAAGCCATACCGCACAAATGAGCATAAATGCGAATAAATGAGGGGCAGGTATTTTTATACGGCCTATAAGGTGTGAGTTAGTGTTTTAACTGTAAATAGAAATCCAATGTCACCACTTATCACAGCAGGACTAAAGGTCTTATGAATCAATGGCCCCTAGAGGCCAAGAGCACAAGAGCCATTTATCCACCAGAAATAAGGCACGTCAATCACTGACACCCATCACACCAAATAAAAGGAAAGCAGCTAGGAGATTACAGTACCGCTAGTCCTCATCACCAGCATCTGTTGTAAGTATATGTTCATTTTCAGTGTGTTTAATGTCAGGCAAAAAATCGAAATGTACCATTATTTCTAAAGGTTAAATGATGACTGATAGTTTTTGAATTATTTAAGATAGGGGTCTGTGACTCTCAGGGGTCTGCAGCAGTATTCACAATTACTGTTTAATCTCTTTTTTGTTGTTGAGAAAAATAAAAAGGTTAAATCAAAATACAGCATTTATTAATTTAAGTTTACTTCAATTTTCTCTACGCATTAAAAATGTATGGTTACACTTTATTTTACAGTGTCCATGTTACTTACACATCTTTCTTAAATATACATGCATGTGTGTGTGCATTTATATATATACAAAATAATTATCCACAGTTCACCCACATATATTATGTAAACACAAACTTTTATTTTGGATGCGATTAATCGCAATTAATCGTTTAACAGCCCTAAACCCTAATCTTAATTATGTATATGTAGTTAATTAATATTACTCAGTTTTTAAATGTACTCACACTGTAACAAGGACATTTTAAAATGAGATTTGTATTAAAATTAATTATTGGTTTAAATACAATATTTATAATTTCTTTATCCAATAAGCAGTCCTCCCTGATTTGTTTAAGTATGTGATAAAACATAATTGAATCGATTAAAATTAATATTTAGTGCTCTCAGAACATCAGGACGAGAAGTTCAGTGTGAGTTTAGCTGTGGTCTATACTACAGGACTCCACATGTTGCAAGCATGTCTAGGGTGGAAGGTTACGGAGAGTCTGACCTGCGCTCACAGTTACGAGCGTGTAGGACTGAGATCGCCATGGCAATCCACGATCCTTTCCCACTGCTGTATGGGCTGGCAGATCAGGACATCATCTCTGAACAGATCCTGAGGGTGAACATTTTCATACAAAAGCACTATTTCAAGTCAACATGCATAATGTAAAGAATGTCTTCATGTTTTAATCGGATGTTTGTACAGTCATAGTTAGTTCCTGAAATGCTAAATCAACAAACTAATACTATCACCGACTTATAAGGAGACTTTAGAGCGAAAGAAAAAGGATGGGATCCACAAAGCTGTCTACTCACTGCTCACTTTGCTACTGGACCAAGATGCTACTGTCCTCCAGGCCTTCTGGAGCAATCTCTGTAAAGAGTACAATAAGGATTGTTACCCAAAACTGGAAACCCTGTTTTTGAACCTCCCCAAAGGTACAGTGCACAGGCCTGGCTAACATACAATAACTGTTGTTGGAGGATAATGACAGTTTAAGTAATTATAATCTCATTTGGCAGGGTTAAAGCAGGTGGCCAGACACACTGGGACACGCTGGGACCGCAGCCAGTCAGGCAGAAAGAAAGGGGTGGCCGAAAAACACCTGACCCACCGGTCCCATCACCACACCAAGAAAGCCATAACCTCCAGCTCAGGTAATGGACACACAGGATCTTATCACTCAGGTTCAGGTCATACCAAAATGGTGCAACTATGGGTGTCATTCCTGGCACTTCTTCCTTCAACTGTGTTATTTGATAATCAATGCAATTTTCGTTTAGTTTAATGGATTAACCAAACAAAATTGCAACCGATTATTATTTATTATAAAACCTGCTCATGTTTTCATTGTTAGGCTATTACTATTACATACAGGCCCAATAATGTGGAGATGCGTGTCTTATGACGTTCGAATCAATTAACCAGTAAATTTTCCTTTGTCACTTACGGTGATGTGTATGAACTGTAGCCTTGTAGCCTACTATTGAATTATGAACGTTGTCAAGACCATTGGTGTTACACATATTTATATGGATTTAAATCAGAAAATCTGGGTTGTTTTAACTCATCTTTGGGTCTAATATGGACAAACCCAAATGTTGGATTAAAGGAGTAGGTCACTTTTGAAAAAAACTTTTGCTGATAATTTACTCACCCCCATGTCATCCAAGATATCCATGTCTGTCTTTTCTTTCATCAGTCGAAAAGAAATTAAGGTTTTTGATGAAAACATTCCAGGATTTTTCTCCATATAATGCACTTCAGTGGGAACCAAACGGTTTAAGGACTAACGGTTCAAGAGATACTCGATTAACACACAGACAGACGTTCCTGCAATTTATGGATAGATGTTCCCTTGTAATCTTTAATGAAAATTACTTCCCCTTATCTCTTCTCTTTTCTGATGAGTTGTCTACTGACGTGAGGTTGGGACGAACTGTCACTCACAGCAATATCATACCACAGCCATTCAAGCAATTCTCAATGGACAAAATCCCACCTTGCTTTTTTTATTTCCAACATGACTTTAACACAACCAATAAATCTGACACATTCCAGTTTGAATGGGCATGATTTGATGCTTCAAGTTTCAAACATGCCAGTCCTGATAACTTAATATCTCTACTGTTCCAGGAAGCAAAGGCAAGCCATTGAGGAAGACAGATGGTGCAGCACTTTCTCAGGTCTCAGTGGGAAATGGTAAGCACTTGATGCTTGAGTAAAATGTATAATTAGATGACTAAATATTATCGTAGATGAATGCATGGATTAATATGACTCAAAACGCAGGGGTCCAGGCTGTATCTACCTCAGTCCAGAGGGCCGTGGCTGTATCTGCCAGTGAGCATCCCACTGGCTGCGGGACAGTAGAGGGGATTCTGATCCAGCAAGTCATTGAGTCTGGTGAGCTCAGCACACTAACACAGTATTGCCAGACTGTGATGTAAGCCTTTACTTAGCTAATGCTAGCTCTTAGCGTGTGTTTTGATAGTGTAACCTTGCGGTGCAAACACTTTGGCGGTCCACTTTGGCAGCACAGTTGTCTCATTTGCACTTTCTTGCAGGAGGTGCCAAAAAATGCATCAAGGTTGGAGGAGAATTCTACTCTTCTGGTAAACTGGATGAGACAGTTGGAGTGCACAAGGCACAGACTGCACAAAACTATAATCACCAGCAGGGAGAGCCAAGCACCAGAGTCATGGATGTAGGTGACCAAGATTCATGGAAAAGTACAAATACAAAAAGCTTACATGAAAAATATTATTTAGGCATAAGTTCTCTTCGTGTTAACTGGGTTCAGAAAGTACACTCTAAAAAACGCTGGGTTGTTTGAACCCAAATTTGGGTCAAATATGGACAAATCCAAATGTTTGGTTAAAAAGGCAATTCAAAAAATTACAGTTTAAAGTGAAAGTTGAAGTTTTTTAACCCCAACTTTTTTTTTTTTAAAGTTGACATTTTTAACCCCAACATTTGGGTTTTTCCATATTTTACCCAAATTTGGGTTCAAACAACCCAGCATTGTTTAGAGTGTAATTCAATATTTATCCCGTTTATGATGCATATGTCCAGGTGGAGCATAATGATGATGAGTGTGCAGTGTGTAAAGATGGTGGGGAGCTCATCTGTTGTGATGGGTGTCCTCGCGCCTTCCACCTCACCTGCCTGGTGCCGCCCCTCGCCTCCATACCCAGGTACAGAGCAGTCATGTGATACACAGGTCACTGACTCTACTAAACCTAGAGCTGACCTCATCTTTAAACTTTATCTGTCAAGTTTAAAACAGTGTTGATAAACACTGAATCAAAAAAGACTAAATTTCATGTCACAAATTTTAAATGAATGTTCAATGTCACAAATTTAATCTGATAATTGATCCAAAATAGTGTAGAATCTGAAATATTTATTATTTATTTTAAATCATCATCTTATTTTTAAATGTCACAAAATTCTTAAAACTGTTTATTTCCTGGTTTAAAAATAAACAGGCCCCCAGGGGGCCAGAACCCACTAGTGGGCCTCAGCAAACTTCGAAAAGAGCAAGAGATTGACTTAAAATCTATTACAGTGAATGTATGATTATTATTGATACTTACTGATTCATGTTAATAAATCTGAAATATTATTAATAAATCCTTAAAATGTTATGTAGTTTTAAGTATGATGTAACTATTATTGAAATATATTATTTTGAATGATACAATTAATGTTAATAGTATCGTATTAATAATATATTACAACAATCTAACTTAATAAAAATTCTCAAATAAAACATAAAAAAAGAAATATTATTTACCCTAAATAACTAATTTATCTAACACATATCTATTTTATGTTAATTAAAAAAATGTAAAACAAGTTGCCTTATCATAATTAGTGTGAAACACTGAGATGCGCATCTCTCACTAGTTTTAGAAATGTGTTTGTTTTCAGTGGTACATGGCGCTGTCAGCTATGCCAAAGCAACAGAGCGAAGGACAAGACATACAACCCCTTGCCGGTAAAACATGACAAGATTCCCATTAAATTGATTGAAAACAAAATTTCCCATTTGTAGTAACTAAGTGAACTAGAATTACAGTTGGTCACACATACACGTACAATATGATGAGCAGTGGGGGGAGATTATTACAAATGGCAGTAGTAACTTCTCTGCTACAATTTTAGCCTACAGTTCACCCTCCAGTGACAGAGACAAGCTCCAGCTCAGCTGTGGACTTCTCCTTCTTCTCCTCTCTGTCCTCCACAGTCACAGCTCCACCTATGGTAACACTCCCATGTGACTCAATAAGCCATACGATACACTGACATTTAAGGCCTGTTTACAAGGACGATAACTGTAACAATTAAGTTTTAATAATCTTTATAATTCTATGAGACTGTGGAAGTCCACATCACAACTATGGCAATAATGATCATTGGAATCACTTTCAGAACGATAACCACCTGACTTTAAAGAGCTCAAGAGCATTTAAGGTGGCAGACAACAAAAATGCAGTGCGCTCTTGTAATAAACAGAGCTTTATCATATCTTGCCGTGGATGCTAACATATTTACTATCGTTATTCAGCCTAAAATGTTAAAGATCTTATTCACACACCCTCATGTCATTCCAATCATTTGAATTCTAAATCCAATCATTATAATCATGTATGGCAATTTCAGGTGTTTTTATGTCTAATCTTTATTTAGTCTTCAGATGGTCAAATGGTTGGGATCAGGATGGCTTGTGGAATTTGTCATCTCATCCAGGGAGAGCTGATCACCTGTCCTCAGTGCCTGCAGAGTTATCATGCCCTCTGCAACTTCTCAAAGTACTAATCTTATTGTATTTATTATAGAATAATTGTGAATTTTATCATGCTTTGAAGCTCAGTCTCTCTCTCTCTCTTCCCCTAATGGCCTCTTCAGTGGAAAGACCAGATGTAGGAATTGCTCCAGGTGTTGGGGTCCTGAAAGCGAAACATCATCAAGGAGTCTTCAGGTATCTCAGTTACACTAAAATAACACTTTTGGGTCTCATAACCTAACGTGTTGGTGTTAGATGATTTTTTATTCCCACAGGTGAGTCAGCACATGAGTGATCAGGGCTTAACACCATCAGAGCAGCTGTTCAACAGAGATGAAATGGACTCTATAATGGGGGAGGTGAAGTCATGTTTCTTAACAGTATAAAAATAAATTAATACATGCAAATGAGCAATGGAAACTGTATATATACCTGAAGCTCCAGATGAGATTCCTAACAATATATTTGTCCTGATGAATTTAGAGCCCTATAGATGGGATCCTGCAGTGGGCTTTCCACAACATTTCACGTCCTCTTTCTGAGTCTCAAGGCTATTTCCAGTGATTCAGCGAGTCGAATAAATCTCTGCTGTGCCCAAATCTCAGCATTCCTCCTCGGTGTCTGATGGGCTGACATGAAGAATAGACCACATAGTTTCAATAATGTTTTGGGTCTAGATCTCAAAAGTTAGTTTCTCCCGCAGGGTGTCTTCCCATTATTGTTTGAATGATCTCAAACTATTTTTTGTGAAAATAAGTACCATATACTGTATATACAATACAACATTTAACTTCAACCAAACCTAAAATTAAGAAGATAATTTTCAACTTCCAACATTAAAATGAAACTTGATGTTAAATTTTAATTTCAAGTACTGTACATCAATAATAAAGGCATTGCATTGTAAGCGTCATGTAATACAGTACATGTAATCAAGTATGTATATACATGACTATGGTACAGCATTGTTACTATGTTAGTCATGGTAGACATATATATTTTTTGCAGATGAAAATTATGCTGTGGTGGATAGACTTACTGTGGCATGTTACAATGACATGCGCAGTACAAATATAAATACGTCATATTAAAAAAAAAAAATCTGTTTCAATGAGATTTTGTCCAAAGAGAGACTTTTAGAAAGATGTTTCATCAGATAAATAGTTGCTGTATCGTTAAACAACAGTACAACACTTCTGTCTCTCACAGTCTTTTTATTCAAAAAATAATTATATCACTAACCTGAATAAGTTTTATAGAAGTCCTTGGCCAGAAAAAGGTTGATAATTATGAAACCCGGATTTTGATTAAATTGTATTGTTCTGTAATGGTAAAATTCATGTGATAACCTCAAGATATGAGACAATGGTCCAAGCATGAATAAATGGATTTCCACATAGCAAACATGGAAAACATGTTCCCATCTCTGCATCACTGTCGTGTGTGTGTGTGTTTTAGACCATCGAAGTGAGGACAAAAAGAGCGTGAAGTGAGGTCATTTTAGCCAGCCCTCACTTTTTAAGACCCTTTTAAAGGCCTGTTTAAGGGTCAAGACTTTGTTTTAAGGTCAAGGTTCTAATTAGGGTAGGTAGGGTTGAGGGTTCAGATTAGGCACTTAGTTGTGATAGGTAAGGAGCTAGAGATTACACCGTGTCAATAAATGTTCTCACAAAGATACAAGAATGCTTGCATATTCTGTGTGTAAAGGCCTATATACACTCACTTAAAGGATTATTAGGAACACCATACTAATGTGTTAATTACATACTAATGTGTTAATTAAAGTTAATTACAGTTATTACATCAACCAAAAAATATATTTTGCCCTACAGATATTGCATTTTAGTAATGTACTACTGATCCACCCAGCTAAATATAGTTTATTAGCAGGCTAGTTTGCCATCTGGTAATTATTGGAATCCAGATTATATAAGTAAGTGGTGTCTGACTTGTTGCCAAAACATTTTCTAAGAATTTACCCAGCTTTTTTTTTCCCATCTGTGTAATTCTGTTCAACTGGGTGAAGTTATGTGAGCAAAAGCTCTGTTTATGCGCCAGTTCTCTGTGTACTGTTACACTTCAGTGGATAAGGGCACAAATACAGCCATTTTATGCAGGCTAATATTGACTTCACTGTGCCATTATATAACAGAGGTTACATGGAAGTGAAATGAGGGTCATCCATCTTGTAACAGAAGTTAGGAAATAGGCCTAATAATACAATACATCAACTAAGAAAAGACCTGCAAGATATGCACTCTAAAATGATTATGATATAAGCCGCTTTATTAAACTGTGTTGCTTATGCAAGAGGTCACCTCCTTCACTCAAGGTTCTTTGAAGGTTATGAGACATCTGCTGATGGGAAATGTAGTGCAAGTTAATCCAGGTAACGAGACAGTATATCCTTATTGTTGTAGTCATTGTCATCTGTGTGAACAGGCCTGCAGAAGCTCTACGATGGACACTCTGAAAGTTATAGTAACTAAAATCTTCCACTCCACTTGACTTGTATCTATCTCGATAACATTGAATCAGTGAGTTGAACGTTATAGAACTGATTCAATTCAGTGTGTGAACAAATTATTCCGATCAGCTTTGTGAACTGGATCAAATGATTCCTTGAAAAACATCCAAAAGAATGATTTATTCATAAACAGGATGTCGCTAGTTTTTCTGTCAATAACAACTTAATATTTGGTTTGTTCAATGTTATCATAAGACTTCAAGACTTAATAATAGTATAGCGACACATTTTAACAGCTACAGTACGTTTAATTATATTTTACGGGCTTTTTTTGTCATTTGTACCTTGATGGCCCTCATTTATTTTTAATATATTGAAAAGAATGATCAGGATATTCCTTGGTTTTGTTACACAAGTTTAGACCAACATGAAGGTGAATGAATTAATCTTTCATTTTTGTTTGAGCTATGCTTTTAATCTTCATCATATCTGTGTGCTTTGTTTTGGCTCTAGTTCCCCTTGACTTATAACATCCTCTTTACAACAATTGGAGCTGTTTAAAATATCAGGAAAATTAAATCAGTCAAAAGACAATGCAAATGTTTAGTGAAGGCTGGCACAAATATGTGTTTTGAGTAATGGTGTGCAATAGCGTGGGAATTATGGGAGGAATGTGAAGGGCATGACCAACAGCATATCACAGGAAACTCACAGAGCGCATCCGGCGAAGACAAGAGGGGTAACAAAACAACAGCTTTAAGAGTGAAAGACTGTAATAACATCTCTGTTAAAAAAATTATTTGATCAACATGTTATGACAACACATGCTGTCATAACTAATATGTTGCTAATAATGTAATAAGTTAATGTAATGTGAGTTGAAATGACTTAAACACCCAAATTGATTGTACTTAAAAATTTAAGGCAACATTTTTTTTTTTTACTGTGAAGATCATCACTAACCACCTGAGTCAAATTATTCTGTTGAATTCAAGAAACAAAAACATGTGACATATAAAAACCGCTGAAAAGTAAATTGCTATTAGAAGTGTACTGAACTGTCCAAGTCATAGCAATTAACAGACAGTTAAATACACATTACCTCAGAACTTATCTTAAAATACACATGACAGGTATGTGGAGAAATGACAAACATGTGGTTCCCTGATAAGACACTGTTTGTTTTTGCATAATTGCGGTACCATTCATTTGAAGTTATGCAGAATACGTGCCTCTTAACCTTTTATATAGCTCTATTCACATTCCTCTGTGCTGGCTTGCACTAGATTTGTCAGAGATGAGATAAAATGCAGCTCTTACTGGAATTATTGTTATGCATTGCAACTAATCTTCACTTTCTCATTAAAATAGACAGTTTGGTCATGGGGTTTCAAGCTAACTTAAAACAGGTGAACTACTAGACATTATGTTGGGAGTCATTCCAGTAAATGGAGATACCAGGAACAGAAGTTCAATTTGGATAATTTTGCATGCTGCTATGCCTTAAATCTGCCAATAACTATTTTTTTTTTATTTTCCAGCTGGAATAGATGTGCAGAACTATGAATGGAAAGGGGTCTTGGTACAAAAGGCTTGAGCAATCTTGAAATGGTTACAGATCTCTTTTTGAGGTCTGATTTTCAAATAGACAAAAAAAGAACAAAAAAGAAGTTGTTTCAGCATGGAAAAGACTTGTAGCTGAATTTATGGTGGCAGCGTTGAGGAAAAATGAGCATCAGGTGCATCCCATAACTGTTGCCAGCAGTGATTCTTTCTCACACCCAAATGCTCCTGTTGCGAATCTGGAATGGGTTGCCGATAAGACTGTGACTGAATGGTAATTGGAATTTGTAGTTCAGGAAAATGAACAATGTGGATTTGCAAAAGTGAGACAAAATGGCTTAGCGCCCCTGTGTCCAATTCTGCTCCTGAAGGGGCCACTGTCCTGGAGAGTTCAGCTCCAACCCCGACTAAACACACCCGAGCAGCTAATCAAGGTCATAATAGGCATACTAGAAACTTCCAGGCAGGTTTGTTGAGGAAAGTTGGAGCTGATCTCTGCAGGACTGAGTTTGGACACCCCTGGCCTAGTGTGATTTATCCCACTGGCTAATTTCAATGACGTGTCATAATGCTGTGGGGTGTAACAAGGTTTAAATCTAAGACAGCAATTAAGGGCTGGCCCAGATTACGCTGTAAAAATGAATATGCTTTATCTAATAAAAAAAAATGTGGCAACAGATTACAAGCAATATTATAAATTAAATGTAACAAATTAGAATTGAATAATAATTAATCAAATTAATTCATTAAAAGTTAACCATTTAAACTGAGTGTAACCCACTCAAAAATAGCTTACTAGCAGTTCATTACATTTTTAGTTTAGTATCTGATTTCTTGATTGCTTTAGTTGTGTTTTCCCTGCACACCGTATTCGTCCAGTAGGTGGCAGTGGTGGCACTGCATAGAGAGGAAAGCTGATACACCGACTCTCGGAGAAGAATACAGAAACCGCGAACAGCAGGACGATAGAGCTGAAGCCCTCTTTCCATTTTGGAATAATAGTTAAAAGAAAATAATATTTAAAAGTTAAAAGTGTTTTTCCCACCAAACCTACTTTTAAGGCGGAAATAACTGAGCAAAGGGTCGAAATTACAACGAGTTTACCTACTTTTTTGTGATTTTTCTCCGGTGAGTGTTTTATACGTGCTCGTCATTTGTGTTAGTAGCAGACATGGCGTGATAGATACAATTAAGCATGTAAAAGTTGTCTTTATTTTTTCTAGTTTGCTGTAACTCAGTTGTTTAATGCATTGTGTGAAAATGTATTGATGAGATATGTACTCTATAAGCTAAACAAAAACCAATCGGAGTTGAACATGTCAGAGTTTAATGATTTGAATTGTTATTTCATGCTATGTTGAAGCCATGTTACCACGTGATATGCTAGTGCTTGAGTTTCATGAATGTAGTGAATGTATAAATTGAAAATAAGGATTTAAACTACTAGAGTTCATGAATATGAGTTCCAGTTCATGAATATGAGTTCTATTTCCAGAACTAGTTAATTTACAAATTATTGAGAGAATAATTCATTGAATGTTGCCCGCTATGCAGGTTGGGTTTTTTTTGGATACATGCTTTGAGAGGGAGTTCCATTGGACGGATTCACCATCGGACACGCGAGGTAGAAGAGCAGAAGGCGTGAAGGATCATCTTGCCTGCATCACGAACTGCTTCTACTCATCTTTTCCTCATTGCATTGTGCAGATAAGAGATTCACTCCACTAAAAAACAAAAAAACACACTACCCGGGTAGATGGACTTTATTTTATTTTATTTTTGAGGTTATTCAGAGCTCTGAAGTTTTTTTATTTCATATTTTCTCAACTTGCGTAAGAAACAAACAAAAAGTTGAGAACTGAGAGAAACACTGATTTTCACAACTAAAAGGACACTATAAAGAAAAGATAAACAAGGTCATAGTGGTTGATATTTGATGTTCAATAAATGCCGGCTATATGTTCTGAGTAAACTATTCGGTACTTTCATTTGTCTACTCCTCCTGTAAAAAAGTTCCTTAGAAAGGTAGCACTTCACTTTACATTATAATAAGTGCCCCTTACATGAGTAAAGCTTACAACAACAACCAAAAAAACATAAATTTGAGTCACCATTATGGTGATCGGTGTTTGTTTTAAAATGACGGTTTTCTCCTTCAGGGATTCTGCTTGTTAACATCAGGTGTTGGCAATATAAAATAAATAGTTTTTAATTAATCTTTGACATCTGTCTGTTAGTGAGATATTTTTGTTAAATTTTTTGGTGTAAACTTTACTCATTTTAAATGGTTAACTTTTAAGGAATAATTTGATTAATTATTACTCAATTCCAATTTGTTCAATTTAATTAATAATATTGCT